ACTAGGCTGGCCTTTATCTTGGAGAGATCCACCAGCTTCTGCCTCCTGAGGACTGGGATTAAAGAAACACACCACTGTTCCTCAATGCCCTATGTTCTATCAATTGTCAGTGTAAAATTAAAAAGGGAAATCATGGTGATTCAACCCCAACTGCAAGTGTGTTTGCACCTATCCACTGGATAATTTCGATTTTGGATTCATTTCTGGAAGTTCTTGATAAACTTCCTTTTCATTCTCAAGGTAAAATCTATATTACTGGCAAACTGATCATAAGTATGTTAATAATCTGCTCCTATTAAACTAAATCTTAAAAAAGCAAAAATTCTGGTTTGAAAATCCCAACATAGAACTGGGGAATGGGTAAGAATCCCCAACCTTACCTGGGGGAACTATTGGCAGCTGAATCAGTCTCCAGTGAATGAACTCACACTGAGGGAAATCTGGGGACACAAACGGCTTGATAAGCTTTAGCATAAATGACTGAATGTATGAAACCCAGTGGGAGAACCACAGGGTGTGTTAGATTTAGGAGGAGGAGAAAAAGAAGGAATTTTAATATGCAGGGCCCAAAAATAAGGGCCAGGATGACCATGAATCCCAGGTGTCCCAGAAACTCCTCCATGGTTGAGCCCTGGCCCACGCTTCTAGTCTTTCCCATAGCTGTCTACTATTTTCCCTTGCTGTTTTAGTTTGTTTCCCCATTGCTGTGACAAAATACTCTGAGAAATACTAACCTGGGTTTATTTGGCTTACATCTCCCAGGTCAGTGCATCACTGAGGGAGCCCAAGTTAGGAACTCAGGGCAGGAACCTGGAGGCAGGAGCTGATGCACAGGCCATGAAAGAATGCTGCTTACAGGCTTGCTCCCCTGGCCCCTGCTCAACCTGCCTTCTTATGCAACGTAGGCTCATCTGCCCAGGGGTGGCACCACCCACAGTGGGCTGAGCCCTCCCACATCACTCAATAATCTAGAAGATGCCCTACAGACATGGCCACAGGCCAGTCCAATGAAGGCAATTCCCCAACTGAGGCTCCCCCTTCCCAGGTGTGTCAAGTGGGCAACTAAAGCTATCTAGCACACTTACTATTCCCAACAGGCTGCTATAGAGGCAGAATTCTTCTCCCAGTTTAACACAGATCCCACCTTTTTCTGCAGTGGTAAGATCCAATCTCCTGTTTTGTAATACCATAGCAGCCAGGTAATCGAGTTGAGTTTCAAATGTGTCAATGCTATCCTGTGTGTTGGCCAGATCATCTGAAACCTGTTGGGAGCTGGCTGTGTTGTACCTCCTGGAGTTCAGTAGCTGTCTGTCTTTCCCACAATGGCAGGCCCCACCATAGTCATGCCTAGCAGAAGGGGGAGTACTATGGAGTCTTTTTTTGTTTGTTTTTTTGAGACAGGGTCTCCCTGTAGCCCCAGCTCTCCTGGATTCACTATGGAGACCAGGCTGGCCCCGAACTCACAGATATCCACCTGCTTCTGCCTCCCGAGTGCTGGGATTAAAGGCATGCGCCTGGTTTGGTACCAAGTATACAAGGTGACATTGGGATGGCGGGGGCAGGAAAAGATGCCCTTGAGACAGGAAAAATAGGTGCCATTAGGAGCTCTAATATTATGAACTATCAGTGTGCATGGGGGAAGGAGGCCTACACAGTCTGCCTCCTCTAAAAGTCGTACTGGGGGGCCCCAGAGGCAAGATATTGGTCATGAAGCATTAAGTCATGGAGGTGTTAGACAAGAGCACTCCCCAGTAGGATACTGGCGTGCCCATAAGCAGATCCAGCAGTTTTTTCATAAATCTGGTCAGAGTTGGGAAAGCATGGCATGGCTGCTGTTTACGAGAGCATGCTTTTGTTCAGTTGTCCACTGGGGTTGGGAGGAGGGAAGGCGAAAGGGGGAATGGTGTTTGGGCTGTCCCCTGACTTGGCGGAAAGAATTGTAGGGATAGTAAAAGGCCTTTCTGAATGGGTGTCTCTGACCTGTCTTTGGTTAGAGATAAGGGTTAGTTTGGTCCATTTAGGCCTTGAGGGGAACCAAGGTGGAGGAGCCTCCCCGCAATGGACTTAAAGGAATAACCAACTTTGGATTTTCCGGGGAGCCCTCTACAACCTCCACTATAATATGTGGTGTTGCATGGCTGCCATCTTCTGGTCTGCTTCCCTTCTGAAGTCACCATCCATGCCCAAAGTTTCATGCTCCCCATAAGGTGAGATCTTTTATGGTAATTTTTCATACTATTGCACTGAGTTAATCCTCTGGTCCCCTGGCTAGGGCTATCATGTTGTGGGTAGAAGGAGATCCTGGCCATGTCCCAGGGGTACCAATGTTTACATATGACCATTTCTTTTAAAATGACCAGTAAATTCCCCCACAGTCAGAGTATTCTTCCTTATTGGGTGCCCTACCGTACATTTTCCAAGTGGATGTGCTTTTTGCTCCATGGCTAGAAGTCTTGTTGTTTGGCTCTAGATATAAAGTTCCTATCTAATAACACCACCTGAAAATATTGAAAATTCTTCCCTTGTATTACATATTGTTTTATTAAGGATAAAGTTGAGGTCTCCATCCCCAACTTTAGGGTGATGGTGCCACTGGAATCTCAGGGTAGAATAAGTTTTCTTTTGGGGTTCAAGATGTGCCGTTGTCAATTAGGGTAAAGAGGACAAGGAAAAGAGGCATTTTTCACATGAGTGGAGGGCCAGAACAAGGGCTGACACTGGATAATTCTTTGTACCATAATGGTGGTCAGATAAAAAAGGGTCCGTAGTTTTTCTTTCCAACTCTAGGTCTGGAGAGTTATAGATCTCAGATCTACTAGGAGAAGGGCAAAAAGTAACTGAGAGATAGGAACCAAAGTTTTATTGGGCATTGCCTTCGGGGAAAAGAATAAAATACAGACATAATGTGAAAAACTGGATCAACTCTGGGGTATAGAACATAAAGGTTCCTTGAAGCCACAGTTCTTGGATTCCATCAACAAGGGAATCCCAATCGGTGACTGGTCCAGGCATCAGCCACAGGTCATTTTGAAGATCTTTCAGGAAGTAGAAGAAGAGAGTGAGAGTTGGTCTCATGTCCATCTGCATACCAAGGAATAGAGGACAGTTTGGTTAGTTTAATAGACATGGGGCAGGCAGGAATTACTTTATAAGGAGATATTGATCTTTTGAGGCAGAGAGGCAGATCCAGGCTGGGCAAGTTTCCAGCTTTGCTGCCCTTAGAGTTAGAAGGATAATTGTAGGGCTCTGTCTAGTTAGGAGTTAGGGAAGGGCGATGGTTTTGGCTAGATAGATCTTGGTCTCCTAATTCTAAGGGGGTATTTTCCTCAGAGTCGGGAAAGGGAGCTGGAGAGAGAAAGTGTGTCCTTTCCCATCGCTGTTTTCTGAGGAAGGAAAGGAGTTTAGAAACCAGCTGAGGAGGCAGGGGGGAATTTGTGGGTTGAATACTTGGGGGAAGAACCGGTCTACTGTACATAATTTTAAAAGGGCTAAGGTGGGTGGTTTGTTTTTTTTTTTTTAGCGCTCATATATTCAATAGGGCTAGAGGAAAAAGTTTTATCTAGTCTAACTTTAGTTCTAAAAATAGTTTGGTTAGGGAATTTTTAAAAGTGTAGTTAGTTCGCTCCACCTTCCTAGAGGAGTGTGGAGGATATGGAATGTGAAATTTCCAGGGACTATTAAAAGACATTAGGTGTCATATAATGGCTGAAGTAAACTCTGGGTCATTATCAGACGGAATAGGGGTGAAGAGGCTGAATCAAGGAATTATTTCCAAAAGTAGGAGGTGGGTGACTGTAAAGGCTCTTTTGTTAGAGGTGGAAAATTCTTCCACCCATCCTGAAAATGTATCTTCTAGAACTAAGAGATATTGTGTCTTTTGATATGATGCACGTATGTGAAGTCTGTCAGTTGGCAGTGGGAAGTATATTTAGTGACTGCTTTTAAGATTCTGTATTAAAAGACAACAGGGTTTTCTGTTGGTCCTTGGGTAAGTTCTTTGAATTTTTCTAAGTTAACTTTAGAATGGGTGTTTTGTTGCATGTCCTCCGCCAAGCAATTAATCATAAGCTGGAGGCTTTCTGATCCCCCACTGCCCACTTGGTAATTCCAATTAGGCTTAGTTAGGGGAACAGCAGCTGATCCCTCTGGAAAGTGGTTATTGTGTTGGTGTAGTTTATCAGCATAGTCCCTGGTGGCCTTCCAAATATGGGCCTTTTCGTCAGCAGTTAGGGTAGAAGTAAGTATGTAATAGACATCATGCTAATTAAGGGAATAGATCGGACATAGTCTGGTGAACTGTTTTTTGAAATGAAGGGGATTTTCTGAGGAGGATCCTATTTTTTCCCCTATATTATCCATGTCAGCTATTGAAAAGGGGACACGGACTCGCGTGGGATGGCTACCTCCCCCTGCCACCTTACTACCTACATGTGAGCCATAGTTCTTGGTCTTGAATGTGTATGGAATGGAGGGCATAGAGATCTCAGGAGCCCAGGGCTGGGACTGCTTAGTAGGGAAGGAGGTAGGGATAGGGGAGGGGATAACTGGACTTTGGGAGATCTGAGATACAGGGAGGAGGTCGAAGGAGGTGGAAAGTAGAGGGATCTCTGGAGATGCAGACTGGGGCAGTAACTCCATAGGGGAGGAATGGGGGTGGATGTAACTGAGCTTTGGGAGGTTGGTGACATAGGGAGAGCCAAGGAGAGGAGGGAGGGAGAGAAGGGGGATTAAGGGTGGGAGCTTAGGTTGATCAAGCCCCTGTAGAAGACAGGGGGTTCATCTGCTGGGTCAAACCCAGGTGATTGGTGGTGGTTAGTTTTCTGGACTTGGGTTTTGGAGTCTGGTGACACAGGAGGATTTGATAGGCAGTACATGAACTATAGAGGGAGGGGCAGGCCTGTAAAGTGGAAAAGCCTTGGAGATAGGGGACTTGGTGCCATTTTCCATTATGTCTCATGAAATTCTCTAAATCTGTTAAGAGTATCATAATCAAAGATACCAAATTTAGGCCAGCAGTGGCGGCTCCCCGGTGTGTATTGAAGCCAAATTTGGATGGAGAGCCGAGTAAGCTCTGTGGGTCTGAGTTCTCCCAACTGGAGTTCCTTTAAGTTTGTCCGGAGACAAGCTAAAGGCATGTCTTTTGGAACAGAGTCTAGAACCCATGGTAGATTGGAGAGACAAGTCCTTCAAGGAGTCCCTTGAAGTTAGAATTAACAGGAACAAACCTGGTGTCTGGGAGTTGATGTCCCCTGCCTCATAAACACTAGGGAGTCAAAAGATGACAGAGCCCCATGGGGGACCCTTCAAGCCTCCAAACCGCTGGAGGCAGAACCCAGTGGGAGGCTCCTGGAGTCTCCAGATTTCTGACAACAGGGTCCAGTGGGAAGTTTTTCCAGGGCCCCGAGCTTGTGAGTCTTAAGACAGATGGAAAGTCGGAGGCCCCTGGGACTCCCTGGACCTGATCAGGGTGCCTCCAAATCAGGCCCAACTGATTACCTTGTCTCCAGGTGTGATAGATGTGAAGGCAAAAAAAATGGAGTGACTTTCCTGCCTGGAGTTCTGGTTAGATCTGAAAGAAAACACAGAGTGCAAGGAATATCAGAGGGAGAAGGGGAGAACAAGGAGAGCCGATGAGAGGCTCCGAGTGAAAGACCGTCCCTACCCTCTTCTAGGAACCCAGCCTGGGTCACACAGACCACCAATATTACCTCAAGACAAGAGGTCTGCTCCTCCTGTGTTGGTTTAGGCCCCCAGGATCCCAGGGAAACTCGGTCTCGACCTAGAAGCTTGTGCTGGGTAGCTTTGGTGTCAACTTGACACACCTGGTTTGGGGAAGCCTCAGTTGGGGGATTGCCTCCATTGGACTAGCCTGTAGTCATGTCCATGGGGCATCTTCTTGATTGTTGAGTGATGTGGGAGGGCCAAGCCCACTGTGGGTGCTACCACCAATGGGTAGGTGGGCCTGTGTTGCCTAAGAAAGCAGGCTGAGCAGGGGCCAGGGGAGCAAGCCAGTAAGCAGGATTCCTTCATGACCTGTGCTCCAGTTCCTGCTTCCAGGTTCCTGCCCTGAGTTCCTACCTTGGGCTCCCTGATGTACTGCAACCTGAGAGATGTAAGCTGAACAACCCTTTCCTCCCCAAGTTGGTATTGGCCAGAGTATTTTGTCACAGCAATGAAGAACAAACTAGGACAAAGCTGTTTACTCTGTTAGTAGGCTGAGAGGGCATCTGTGCTCCTGATAGGTTTGTTCCAAGATTGGGAGGAGACAATAGGAAAAGTGAAAGCAACTGAGTGCATTGAACTGGCAAGTCCACCCAATCGGGTAGACTTAGGTGGGCTCAGCCAAGGTGCCAGACACTCAACAATGGTTACCAGGGCCAGAGCTGCTTAACTGCCTTTGGAGGAGGTCCAGAGAGGGCTCGGGGCTAGGTGTGAGAAGATGAGGAGCCAGTGAGAGGCAGAAAGGGAGATGAGGAAGAGCTGGGGTGCAGGGAAGGGAATATGAAGGCCGGGGAAGGTAAGGGGATGGGAGGGCTAGTGGGTGAGGAGAAGCTGGGGAGCAGGAGAGAGGTAGGCCTGAGGAAGAGCTGGGGTACTGGATATGGGGTAGGAACAGTGAGGGCCTGGGGAATGTGGTTAGGAGGCACAAGGGCAAAGACAGGCTGTGTGTGCTAAGAAGAGCTGGGGAACAGGGGAGGAGCTGAGGAGGAGGAGGTGAGAAACTATGGAGGGGCAGAGTGTGAAGAGGACTGGGAGCATGGAATGGGCTAGCAGGGGAACAACTAAGAGCAATGAGGGTTGAGAAATAAGGAGATGGGGAAGGAAAGGAACTGGGAAGGGGCTAGAGGCTAGGATGGGGTGGGGGCCAGTAGAACCTGGGGAGAAACGGTGGGATTCTGGGCTAAGAGAAGCTGGCAATGGAATAAAGGAATAAACGGATTGAAGGCCAAACAGGGGGTGGAGATTATATGGGGTTGGGGTAGAGACAAGCCAGTAGCACAGGGAACAGGGTAGAAGCGAGGACGAGGCAGCGGAGAGGGTTTGAGGGATAGGGAGCCTACAAAGTGCTAGAAGGCAGCCAAGGAGGGGGAGAGACAAGAAAGGGAGGAGGGGCAGGGCTAGGGGTCTAGAGGGGTGGGGGCTAGTAGGAGCTGGGGAATAGGGGATGGGTAAGGACAGCTTGGGGGCAAGGAGAGGCTGGGGAAAAGAAGTATCTGGGGAGCATGGGAGGGACTAGAGTGATGGAGGGCTGTGGAGTAGGAGCTGGAGAACTGTATTAGAGCTAGGGGTTGGGGAGAGGGTTCAGCTGACTGGAGAGGGGTTTGGGATGATATGGGGTTGGGGGCAGGGAGGATTTTGGTAACCCAGAGGAGCAGGTGATGGTCAGGGGAGGAAGTGGTGTGTAGCTGGGTAGAAGCTGTGGGGCTGAGGAGGCTTAAGCGCAAGGTGGAGGTTGGGGGAGTGGGAGCTGGGGAGAAGCTAGGAGCTTGGAGGGTCTGGCTGGCTGGAGAGGGACTTAGGGTAATACGGGTTTAGAAGCAGAGAGGATTGGGTGCCCACAAGATGGGGAGATGGGCAAAGGAGGCTGGGTAGGAGCTGGGGGCAGGGTAGGATTAGGAGCAAGGAGAAGCTTGGGACAGGCAGGGAGAAGTTGGGGGGGGGTTCAGGGAGGTGTTGAGGGATGGGGCCTGGGCAGGGACTCAGAGCTAAGCAGATGCTGGGCCTCTCATGTGGCAAGTTGCATATCTAGTAGAAGCAGAAACCTAGGAACCCTGTTAATTATCCTCTACATGTTGTGCAAGTTTGGTATGGACTGTTTGGATGGAGGTGGGGCGGGAAGGGGGGAGTGAGAGAGGGGAAGGAGAGACTCAGAAAGCAGGATCTTAAATTGTAGCCCACTGGGGAGATGGGCAAAGGAGGCTGGGTAGGAGCTGGGGGCAGGGTAGGATTAGGAGCAAGGAGAAGCTTGGGACAGGCAGGGAGAAGTTGGGGGGGGTTCAGGGAGGTGTTGAGGGATGGGGCCTGGGCAGGGACTCAGAGCTAAGCAGATGCTGGGCCTCTCATGTGGCAAGTTGCATATCTAGTAGAAGCAGAAACCTAGGAACCCTGTTAATTATCCTCTACATGTTGTGCAAGTTTGGTATGGACTGTTTGGATGGAGGTGGGGCGGGAAGGGGGGAGTGAGAGAGGGGAAGGAGAGACTCAGAAAGCAGGATCTTAAATTGTAGCCCACTTTTGTATGTGATGTTGGAGTTGTGAAGTAGGTGGAACTTCGGATATTATTATGAGGTACAACCCTAGCCCTGCAGAATTTTGGCTTTTTAAAAATTACAACACATATTATATTGAATTTTTGTGCATTCCACACAATACATTTTAATCATATTTAGGCCTCTCTCGCCTATGTGCACCTGCTCTGATAAAATGTACGTATTGGAGGTGAGCCATAAGTCTCATTAGGGAAGTAATAAAACTATAAATTCCTTATAAAGTGGCCAACTGGCCCTAAATTGGCAGACTGGCCTTGCTTAAGCCTTATCAACAGGTCATTCCAGAACTGAAGGAGACTGTTTATGGAGTCAACTTATCTCCTTTAGTGCCCAAGATTACTTGCCTGCCCTGCCTGAGAAAATAATCTTGGACGGAGGCCCTTCAATCACCCAAGGACACCAGACCCTGGCATCAAGTAAACTCCTGCCCCTCCTTGGCTCCCCATCCCCCAGGCCCTCCCTGTCCCCCTCTCTCCCACTCCTGTTCCCATCCTAGGCCCGCATCTGCCATCCCGATCAACCCTCAGCTGACACAGGCAGCAATGACCTCCCAGGGTCGCCAGTCCACTCTGTCTTCCTGCCTTCCACTCAGTCCCCCACCCCCACCCCCACCCGCGAAGCCCCTGTGTTCAGGAAGGTCCCCGCCATTTTCCTCTCCAAGGCCCCAGGGAGCACCAACACGGAGGAGTGGCCTCACCCGGAAGAGCTGCCTGAACCTGGACTCCACGAGGGGCTCCATGCCCCCCACCCACACCTAAACTGCACCCTGGGACCGACCAAACGAACCACACTTACTGGTCTCCCCAGGGTGACCACCTTCACCACTGCAAGCCTCCTTCAGCCGGATACGCACTCCACAAACTCAAAGTTGCTTTGCCACTGTGCGAAGCTCAGAGAAAATGGGCTTAGAGCACGAGAAAAGCCACGGTCTACTGCTGTGCGCATGCGTGCACTGGTTGGTATGCTCCTGAGGGGGCGGGATGTTGGGGGTTGGAGTTCTGGACGTGAGGTTAGAGAACCTGATAGTCTTTTCCAGAACCTTCTCCATTCATGTGGATATGTCAGCGCGCATGCGTGGGTAGGGGCAGGTGCACGGGACAGCACCTGTGTGGCAGTCAGAGGACAACATGCCTTAGTCTAGTCTCTTTCCACTATGTGAATGTGGGGCTCTGGGATCAAACTTAGGTCATCAGCTTTGGCAGCAGTCACTTTTACCCTGTGAACCATCTTGCCAACACCTATTAGAGACTTGAGGGACGGTTGGGTGCAAAGGTAAGCTGCTAGTGGACTCTAGGTATGGTGCTTTCCAGTTTCGAAGTTTCAGATATCTTGAAAATCTAAAAATATGTGAAGCATGAAAAGTAGACAGCACCCCTGCTTTATATGAGCTCTTTGCCTGTATTCACTGTACCTGACCTCACATCCTTTTCATGCTATTCTTCATTCAGACCTGTGAGGTTATTCAGTTTGAATAAACTGTTCACCTATGTTTTCTGAGATTTGATACCCCAGAGACAGGCCCTTAAACAGTCTGGCAAGGTGTCTGAGCAATGCCAACTTGTTCCATAGTGCGTGTCGTGTTCTGCCACTTAGGTTGTGGGGGTGTTTGTGTGTGTGCAGGCTTGTGTGTTCACATGTGTGTGGGTATGTGGAGAGGCCAGGGGACAACCTAGGTGCTATTCCTCAGGAACCAGCCTGGTTGATTTTTGAGCCTGTGTCCCTGCTCCTGGAGTTTGCCAAGGACAACAGGCTGACTGACCAGGGAGCCCCAGGGAGCCCCCTTTTCTCTGCTCTCCAGAGCTAGCATCACAAGCACATGCCACTGTGCCATCACATTTTCTCCGTGGGTTTTGGGGAACCAATTCAAGTTCTTATGCTCATGGGAAAGTACTTAGCAATGGAGCAATCTCTCCAGGCCTGTCACTCAGCATTTAGTCAACATGATGTCCCTGGGGGAATCAATATTATCAGGCAGAGCCATGATTCTTTCATCTTGGCCATGCCATGTTTCATCACAGCAGTATTCTCGGTTTGTTTATTGATCTCCCTGTCAATAGTCATCTAGGTTATTTCTTAGTTAGGATCTATATAAGCACCCTTATTCTGGATATTCTCATTTCTTGTATATGTGCTAGTCTTTCTATGTATTTTGACATAAGGATAACTTCATTTAAATGAAGAGTGAATATAATTTTTTAAAACAGAGCACTTTACTCTGCTACATGCACTCATGATCACTTGCTATTGTCAGATTTCTTAATACTGCCATTAAAGTACCAATTTGCATCTCTTTTGCGTTTAAAAATTGGTAGTTTTGGGGTTGGGGATTTAGCTCAGTAGTAGAGCACTTGCCTAGCAAGCGCAAAGGCCCTGGGTTCAGTCCGCAGCTCAAAAAAAAAAAAAAAAAATTGGTAGTTTTTTGACCGATTTATAGGTCTTATTTCTGTTCTATTTTGTAGTGCTGGGGGTTCCAATCCAGGTTTTAGGCATGTTATCAGCACTATATCACAGAGCTACAGCAGCAGTTATTTTGCTACCAATTATGTTTTGGTGGGTGCACATTCTTTCTCATTTGTG